GAATTCCAACAGAGGACTACGGTTATAACATGAGAAACCCTAGCAGTCGTGCGTTAATTTTCAGGAAGGTGATGATGATGGTGGTGATGCTGCTGCTGCTGCTGATGATGATGATAATGATGGTGGTGGTGGTGGTGGTGGTGGTGGTGGTGGTGATGGAAGTGATTCTGATGATGATAATGATGACGATGAAGGTGATGACGACGACGACGATGATGGTGATGATGAAGTGTATGTTGGTGGTGGTGATGGTGGTGGTGATGACAGCGATGACGGTGAAGGTGATGATGACGACTACGATGATGATGAGGATGACAATGATTATAATGATAATGAGGAGGATGGTGCTGGTGCTGAGGATAACCATAACAAAATCTAACATTATCGTTGATACAAAAGGGACGGTTTGAGGAAGACCAAAAGCCTTTCACTATTGTGTGCATGCTGCTGTCGTTGATGATGATTATATACCTGTCAGTTGAGAAAGACAACAAATTATCTTAGTCTGGATAAGCTAAGTAGGGGACGCTTGCCTCTCAGTCATATATATATTGACAGAAAACGATGCTTTGTTCTGAAATACATTCCAGCGACATCAAGCTGGACTGCACAATGGTGCCATATAAAATTATGTTTAGTATTAATTTTAGTAAGTTAACATGTTTGCAGTTTATTGCAATAAAATTAAAAAAATACATGAGATACAAATTCATGATCATATTAAACCGATGACCCTCTCTAAGTACTGATAAAGCAGTCGTGGTAGTGGCGGTCTATGATAGTCACTCTGTACACGAATTCAATTTTCTGCTACCATATGGTTTCTTTAAATCACTTTTCCATCGTCAGATATGGTATTTACTTTTGCAGCAGTGACATGAACCCGAAAGGCTCAGCCGCTGAGAATTATTTTAAGAAATAATAAGGTCCCTAGATACCTTCTCTCTCTCCTTCTCTCTCTCTCTGTCTCTCTCTCTCTCTCTCTCTCTCTCTCTCTCTCCCTCTCACTCTCTCTCTCCCTCTTTTCCCCCACTTCACCCCCAGTCACCGCATGTTGGCTTTCTCTCTATCTCGTCGTTGATTACCCGCCATGCATTCAAGCTGCTATAGGCACACACAAAAAAAAAATCAGTTTGACGTCATCACCTTCTGGTAGTTCTGGTTGCCATGACAGCGCTCCAAGATACCGTCATCTGGGCTTCCCTCATCACCATGGTAAAGAAGACAGCCGTTAATGAATCAAAATAAAAGCGTTTATAACACGAAAGAGTAAGGAGATTTTGGACGCAATAAATTACTAATTCTTGAAATGTACGTGGCTCGATCAACAGATGCACGTATATGGGAACTTCGTTGTTTTTCTTATATTTTCTACCTTCCCCACCTTGTACCATTAAATTGTCACTTTGTCCATATTCGAGTAATCTCCATCTTATTCATCCTCGTCTTAATTCCTCCCCTTCCTGTTGGATGGTTTATTAAAATACTGAACCTGCCAGCCCGTATAGATTGAATTATATTCAGTTTACAAGACAAAAACAACTCAACTTGCGTATCAATGTTGTAACAATAAGCATACCATGTGAGAACATTTATGGTGTATGCAAAATTACAGTTCATTGTATCATATTTGACGTAACTCATACATATTAAAAAAGGCTAAAATACAACCAATGAAGTCATGATTTTTTTTAAGGAAATCAGAATGCGCATAGGGAATTGTGAGGATTAAATCAGTGGCGGAGACAGGAATTTCTTACGGGGGGGGGGGGGCACAAAATGGCATGGGGTGAAATCAGTAGCATACGCAGGATTTTTTTTCAAGGGGGGGGGGGGTTAACATTTTCTAATCGGGCCGAAAATTTCGCAACGACTCAGCCAGCCACTGAATAAGTGGGGGGGGGGGGGGGGGGGGTAAGAGGATATATATATATTTTGTTTGGTCAGCCGCTGAATAAGCGGGGGGGGGGGGTAAGAGGACATATCTGAAAATCGCGCCGGCCGCAAATTCGCTCAGTTGGGGGGGGGGGGGGGTAGTGAGCATTATTATTTTTTGGCCCGGGGGGGGGGGGAGCACGTGCCCCCTGTGCCCCCTAGATCCGCCCCTGGAAATGCACACGAAATAATGTAAAGATGTTATTTTTGTTTTATAGACTTTGAACATGTATTATGTAAACTTCAATAATGGTATCTTACTGAAGAAGATGAAAGAAGAAATACAACTAGTACCGGTATATACGCACGATTCTCAGTCGGAAAGGCCACCTCTTTATGGGCATTTAATTTGCCCGAACATTATTTTTGCTCATTTTCGAAATTCTTAGAGGCTAGCTAAGGAGTGTTACCCCCCCCCCCCTTTCATTTACTTCATACATCCATGCCCCCACCCCTGTCCTAACGCCCATCATGAATGTTGCATACGGATTAAAACATCGATGCACCAATATCCGGTTATCACTTGTAGTTATTTAACTTGTTTAATTAACCTGTGCCTGTACAAAATACGGGTACAATTTGTAATTTAGCACTTCTTTGCTTTGATGTTTACGTGGTGCAAAAATCTCCGATGTACCGTCTTTGTCAGTGAAATCGTTGGTTAATTTCTCGTATCATCATGAAAATTCCGTCTATTTTAGAATCGTAAGTTGCAGATTGATACCTCTTAATTGTAATCATTAATGAAAATTGTATTATTTACTTTTTTAGTGGACCGTTTCAAGCGTTTGAACTGGCTGTGTGAATGGTGTTGCAAGCGATGATTCGAACGCTACCAGGCCAGTGGCACTACCGTGTACCACTACCCCCGCACTCAACTAGCGCTGGCGCCTCGGGCTGGGAGCGCGACCGGGCTTGTCGCTGGCTGGGCTTGTACCTGTAAATAATGTACTTAGTACTTGTTACTTGGTTGGGTAATCCCTTTAGGCAGCTCACTAAGGAAGCTATACTGGGATGGTAGGTGAGGCGAGTAACTACAAGGTGTGTGGTGTGGACAAAGCACTTGTCAATTTATAGTAAAATATGCTAATGAGTAGACCTAAGTCCAGTGCAAGTAAAAACCTAGACCAAATTATCCGTCTCTTTCGTTCGTTTAGAGACAGAAATGGTCTATATATACCGGCTAAGGTGTAGGTTAGGTGGGCAAATCAGTGCACCAAACTTGCAAAACTTATCCCTGAATTACTCCTTTCACAGGATGCATTTCCGATGCATATAGCACTAGTCCAAAATTGTAGATCTAGGCTTAACTACTGCGGATCCACCTACCAACTTGACTGAAATAATCCGTTTGATGGTCCATTTTTAGGAAATTATGGGTCAAAATCGACATCCATGATAAAAATCTTGCAGCCGTAGTTTAAACTCTCGCTGCGCACGACATTATCTAAATCTCATCCCTTCTAGTCTACACCGAAGGCAAAATGATTATGAAGGAAAAACTGTGCACGAGCTACGAGTTGGTAATGACATTTTAAAGGATCTGGATGAGAAACAAGGAATCAATTTATACTTGGCCTTTTAAAAGAATGGTCAGATTGTTACCTGAAATTGATCTCCAGCTGATGAAAAGCACTTTCCAAATTCTCAGTGAATCTATCATCTAGCGTTATGGTTGCTGCTGCTGTTAACACAACAATGATATCTGACATCTACTATTGAGCTTTGGCAGAGTAACGATGTCTGCAATTCAATATTCATAAGTTTTGTTGATGAATGATGACGTGGGATCATGATATCACATTGTTTATAAGTGCCCTGCGGTTGATGATGTCAAAAGTGGATGAGGATTGTATCATGTACATGTACATGTAATGCGTGTTTTGATGATGAATGTTGAAATATGAATTCATGTCAACAGGCTGATATACAATGTATGCAAAATCTTTTTATCCGCAATAATTTGTTTTCTTTTTCATTTTGTTAATACTATATTTATACTAGTATATTTATATTTATACTAGTATTCTTTATTCAAAGAAATTAAATCATTCAGGTATTAAATTCTGTTTGGGGACCTTGCTCTAACAAGCCCAGCTTCTATAAGGTCTCCTCTTTCTTTCATGTACAGAACATGATCTTACATAAGTAACTTTTTTATAGAATTTCTTTAGTTAATAACAAGAGTTGTACATGTATGTTGAACGTTACTATTGCGCTTCAAATTATGTTCATTATATTGATAATCTGCTGTTCCAGTTACTTTATTTGAAATTCTATGTACAAATATTTGTGAAAGAAGACAGAAATACCGGTAAATGAACTAACTAACTAACTATATTTCTGTTGTACATTCTATGTTTATATTACTATTGTGTATTGTATTATTTTAGTTTTAAACTGACCCCTGCAGCCTGTGCTGCCGGTCAGTTTGTATAGACCAATAAATAGATAATTATAAATAATTGATAAATTAATGTTGACCTTGGACTCTACTGCCTCAAGATGAGAAAATTGTGCAGTCCCAGCTGGCTATTAATATCAAAAAGTTGTTAAGTTAAGTTTGTGCTGCATATAGTGTAGGAATAATTTACAACCAATGTACATGTACGTTAAACATTTTGGAACTTCTTGTAAGTTTGTTGATTTCTGGTGCTGAAGTGTACCTGTACATATTTTTCTTTAAATACTCCTCAAACAATAATAATTGTATACATCTCTCCATTTGTATGTTCGAGGGGTCAGTGACACAAATACGTACATTGTACCGTAACTCCATTTTGGCCATTTTGGAAAAAAAGTAGTTTATGTGTCACTGAGCACTTGGGTCTTAAGGAGTTAAGTCTATGTTTCACTAGCCATTGACTTCAATGGGGTGTTTCATTTTTCTGAATACTTCGATATCAAATACATGTACTCATTTTGGCAAAATATGGAGTTACTTCTTTGTGTCATTGAACCCTTGTATCTTTGACCGCAAGGGCCTCTCTAGGGGACCGTATTGCTGGAAAAGAAGGGGGTGCATTATCACAATAATAAACTTCATCTATTTTTCTTTCATGCAGGTCGGTACAGATGCGTCTTTATACCTTAAGCAAGAGGCAGTTTGTCTTAGTCTTCATCTGTTTTTTCATGGCTTTCGGCATCTCGTTATTAATTGGAATAGCAGGTAAGACCATTTACCTTTCCAAGACAAATGTTTTTATGTACAGTTGTGTACAGTATGCATATTAATATACTTATAATACACAGCAGTGAACAAAATGATGTGTATTATTTGTTTTATAAGATAATGTTTTATTTGTTTTATAAAATTATGTTTTATAACATGATTTGTAAATGACCGGTCATAAGTAAATTTATATGTTACGGTAGGCTAAATAAATGCTTGGTCACGTGTACGCTCTCAACCAATCAATCGATTAGGATCTGCTTACATCATTTTATAACAGTTTATACCCTGTAATGAAAAATTAACCGTTTCATGAAGCAAAGTATTTAAAAAAAATTCAACAAGTTACATGATGGTGCATCCTAAAGGCTTTGAAAAAGATAAATTCTGTTGATACAGTGTAGCTTATAGTACATGAATCAGCGATCAAACTAAATTTAATTAAATCCAAGTTCTGCTTGGCATCAAATCTTGTTTCTCCTAATAAGCTTCTAATTGTTCACATTCTTTGATGCATCTTGCAGTAGTGACTTAAAATTAAAGCCGGGGTACTAATAACCACATGTTCAGGATTATTTTTCTATGCCAATTCTATGATTGTGGCTTCACTTTCACTTATTCACTGTAACTCTCAAACACACCAGATAGCAATCCCTCCAATATTCGTGGTTTGATAGCTAAAACGTCACTTAAATATATTTTCTTGTTAGAATCATGCATTTCAAACATTGCAAACTTTATTACCTTGTAGGATCCTTTCTATCTCCCTCTCCCTCTCTTTCTGCCTTCCTGTTTGTCCAAATTTAGAAAGCAATCAGATATATTGACCAACATAACCTTTCCGGAGACCATAACATATATTATTCTTATTTGGTTAGTACCTCAAGTAAACACACGATGGAGACACAAAATTGTGTTTTCTAAGAGCCTCCAAATATCCGCAGGAAGTCAGTTCATTCAATGCTGTATTTGCTGCAAGCGATAAGCAGAAAAATGAGTAAATACTTACTATTAGCTTTGAAAGGTGAACCTATTTCATTTCCTAAATGGCCAAAGGCAAAATTTACCATTTGGGAAATATTTTCACATTGAAATGAGTCCCGTTAGTACGGGTGTATGTTGTCAAATATTTTGAAACTGTTGGCCTGTATTCTAATAAAATGTAAACCTGACGCTGGATTTGATTTTTTGTCGTAAAAAAAAAAATCAGGTTTAAACAGTTAGTCTAAGGTCAAAGTTATCCTTTCATTGAACATGAATTCACTGAACGTGGAGTGTCAGAATATGGACCTTTATGTTTGTTAAGATGATTCAGTGAATTTACTACATTCCAAATCTAGTCAAACCACCAAATATTTCCTATTTTATGCAAAGTTTCTAATTTTGTTATCTTCTGTTTCCATTTTTTGCTCCCCAGGTCCTAATATACAAGCTTATGAACTGCAGAAACAGGTTGAAAATTTACCAGTAAGTTGGAATCATTTGATTATTGTCGTGTTGTGTTTGTCATTATGTAATTGAAATAGGGTTAATGAATATCAACATGAAAATAGGGTTCTTAATGCCGAAAAATGGAAAACAAGCTTGTAATGCTTGAATGGAAAATAAGAAACTCTCTCTTTGGTTCAGAATTATGATTCCTCAAACTATTGAACCTTCGGAATCATGACAAATCAATGTACAATGTACATTGATGCTCAGATAAACATTGCTTTTATAGCTTTCTGTGGAATAAAAAAAAACCTTTTTACAGGGTTTTCTTGTGTTTGAAACGCTGCACTTTTGAACTTTAGGAATAACACCTTTGGAATAACGACTGTAGAATAACGATCATGTCCCACACCTTGTGCCCCTGCGTAGAGGGGCTGTTTAAGTGTCTTGACATTTTCAAGTGGCATAGCAGAAGGGATGCCTGAAACACAAGTACTCTACTACATACAATCTTTGGTATAAATATCGTGCATGAACTGAAGCAGTTTCTGTACCCACTTTAGCCTGCTTTTCATAAATGAATAATGTGACCCAAATACATGTAAAGTATATATACCTACATGGTCCTTGTATCATCATTTAGGAGCCACAAGCCTGATTTTTGTAAATGGGTAATTCCATAAATTAGGGACCCACTTGGTGACATTTTTGGAGTCCCACTTGCATAAGGAACCCACACGTATTTGAGGCTCTGAGTAAAGACTTGAATAGTGGAGTGAGATTATAAAGTGATTTCCAAGCATAATATTGCATCCTCATACCTACTGTACATGTAGAATCACTTTAATAATAACAATCTCACTCCACTATTTACAGTAAATCTTTCATCCCTAATAGAAGGCTTTATTTGCCTTTTTTTTCCCTTTCTTTTTTAAATACTTTTAAAAATTATTTATATTCCTTTTTTTTTTGGGGGGGGGGGGGGGAGGGGGGGGGGGGAGTTCCCAGAACCGTTAATTGTTCATAAAAATCTACTGAGATATGTTCATGCCCAATAGGGGGAATTGAATTTTCTTCAAAAAAATAGGCAGTACTGACAGTTATCCAGGCGAATAAGTCATTTGTTGAAACTTATTCTGTGAACATAACTGTATTCTTTATTGTCCTGTTTCTTAATTTCAATGAAATACATGAACATGTATGTACATGTAGGTTTATTACTTTATCTTCCTGTAAAACACACCCGTAATTTTCTTATGTAAACAATCTCAGTTAATTGTCCAAAGTGTATACATGTCACAGTCAGGATTTTGCGTGGAAGCGACATTGTTAGAGATTTTAATACAGGTCTAGGGAATGAAAGCAAATATACACATTTGTATGCTGACATTTAGAATTTGAAGTGCCTTTAGGGGGCTCATTTGTCTTGAGAGGGTCAATGATGCATTGTGGACCGGGAGGAAGTCCTTACATGCAATATGAATGAGGTAATTTTTCCATGGGTCAGGGCTAGACCTGTGAAACAATAAGGAATCAGTTTGTCATTACCCAAGGTTTGTCATTGATGTGTCAGACGGCTCTTACCACCACATCTAATTTTGATTGCCAGCTTGGCAACTGAGTTGATTTATTAGTTGTAGGTTGCCAAAATGAATGTATGGTAGTCTTTTACAATTATTTACACTGTATGCACGACATGAAAACAATCAAATTACAATTACTGTTATTTCTTTTTTAGTGGACAACAAGGGTGGAACTTTTACCGTACATTTAGGTTGCCTAGGGGATTTTGCTTGTCAATGACACTGGGGCAATTACAAATGTTATGCCCTGTTCAGAGCTGCCAACCATTCCGTTTTTGCCGGAACTACTCTGTTTTTTCCTCCAAATTACGTTATTACGTTTTTTCTTCATAAACTACTTTTTTTTCCTTTTTTTTTCACATACCCTACGTCAAACAACTGCCCTTAAATGGTGATTTGATCACAAATTCAACAGAAAACTAAATTTAAAACATACTTGAAAAACAAAAATATTCTCAAAAAGAATGAAATGCCGATAATACCAAAATAACCACCAAAAAAAATTCCTGCTTGTATAGAAAAAAAAAAAAACAGCATGATGAATGAACATTTCTGCATTGGAAGTGTGTCGCGCATGGTTGTAAGTTTCGTTTTTATGAATTCCTTTTTTTTGCTTGAAATTCCTTTTTTTTTCGCACAAGGTTGGCAGCTCTGCCTGTTGGGTCATATACTGTAATAGCCTTTGTCTTACTGTTTGTTTATGTTTCTAATTTTGCCAAGAAAGAGTAACCTTTCGCTTAAAAAGTGTCAAATCTATGAATCAGTTTTTTTTTTTTAAATAATATTCTGACATTTAGAATTTGAAGTGCCTGTAGGGAGCTAGCTCATCAATTTGAGAGGTTTGAAGATGCATGATTTTTGATTTTACCAAGAAAGAGTAAGTTTTCTCTAAAAGTGTTCATTCTGCACACTCACTAAATATAGCCAAATCTATGAATCGGCTGTTATAATATTCTGACATTTAGAATTTGAAGTGCCTGTAGGGAGCTCATCTGTCTTGAGAGGTTCGATGATGCATTGTGGTCCGGGGCGTAAGTTACAGGGACATGTAATATTAATGAGGTTTTCATCAATGGTCTAGCTTACAATGCATAGTTGGTACCCTGACGGCAATCGCTTTGTGGTCGACTTACATTCATTACCGGTACATCTGAATTTGTACAATACAATACATTACCGGTGTGTTGACTCAGTCAGTACAGCGTCCGCCTCACAACCAGGAGGTCTTGGGTTCGAACCCCGGCCACGTCATACCAAAAGACGTTAAAAGACGGGAGTTGCTGCTACCTTGTTTGGCGTTCAACAATAAGGGATAGAGTAATGTCGATCTGGCGCTGCTCAGTAGCTGCCGGGCTCACGATCAATTAGGCAAAAAGAATTTCCATTTTTGGTTTAACTTAATAAAAATTTGGAGTGGACTTTAAAAGATTATCATTTATTTAAAAAACATTAAATGTAGGGTGTAGGCCCTCCTAGGTGGAGTGTGACAAACAGATTAATGTCTTTCCAAAGGACCTTGGCGCCCTGACGGGATTCAAACTGCGAACCATGTGATCCTTAGTCCGACGGCACATCCAGTAGACTAATGATGACACTTCTTTGACACATCATAATATTTGGCTTGTGTATTGCTGCGTATTTATGGCAGGCCGTTTTAACATTATTTCCTATTTCTTGAGATCAAGAATTACCATTGCTTTACAGCAGAAAATAATTTCTTGATATCAAGAAATAGGAATAAATGTTAAAAACGGTTTGCCATAAATACGCAGCAATACGCAAAGTTGTGACTGAAGCATTACTGGGGTCAGACTCTGAAGTGTGTACATGTAGGTAATGTGCACACATGCTTATCAGTAAATTGGGTTTGATCCAGTATGTTTGGAATGTAATTCAATGATGTAAATCTGAGCATATCGATGTCAACGCTCTGTTTGGACAGAAATCAATAATGCAATGTAGTCATCGTGGTGCAGTGATGCGGAAATAGATTGTATTACTGTTCATTGTTGGCAAGGGAATTGTGTCGAGAAGTTGAGACTGCAGGGTAAACAAATATAAATAGGAGCTTTAATTTGGAGTCAAACTGGAATGGACTGAGATTTAAAGAATTAAACATACTGTACAATGCACAACCCACTAACAGGAAATTTGTGTTACAGTTTGCCAATTTTTTTCTTTTATAGGAGCCTTTTTATGAGTTATAGAGTCTTTATAGACTTCAGAGGGCAGATTGCCCCCCCCCCCCCCTTTTTCAGGTTCATGTACATCTCGGGCCTTAGAGTGTGTTTATTCTGAGAGATTGATTGTATCTTGTTCATAATCTACAAAATTCCCCACCAAAGTGTATTAAAGAGGTATAAAAACAAAAATAATATAAAGTTTCTCAGCACGACATGGGCATTGCCTTGTTCTTGATAACCGTGATGTACCATGTGAAGTCGTTTATCAGGTTAATGTATTCAAATTTATGGATGCTTCCATGCCCAGGCGTGGGTGGTGATGAAATATTTTATTCACCTGCTTTTATCCTGGTACTAAATTGCCGAAACGCAAATTGCATACAAATAAGTTGGTGCTCCGGGGTGAATTTTTCACATGTACATGTAAATGAAGTAGATTTGTTCCCCTGTTTTTTTCACCAAATGTAATTTTACCTCAGCTATGATTGTCCCTCATTGAAAAGTAAAGTTTTTTTGTATTGAATTAAAAATTCCTTCCAACTCATGGTGCATGAAACGTGAAAGAGTTCGCCTGTTGCGTCACATTATCAAGAAAATGGCTTTTAATAAACAGGTCCATACAATGTCCATACAATGTGTCTACACAACTAAGACCGATCACTTTACAGCTTGAGAAAGTCCACAGGAGTGGACAAAAGCTTGCATAACAAATGTAAGGTTGGTAGAAGCTTGAAAACTACATGTTATCATTATCCCCAACTGATGAAAGTTTTCTGTATCAATGTGTCTACACTTTGCTTGTGTTTTATACATCCATTCGTGTTGATGTACTATGTACAGCAAAAATCACTTAAGGTACCTGTATGCATACAGTATTGCTAATCACCCAATGTGTTTTACAGTGTGTGCAACTTCAGCCTAATGAGCTAGAGCTAATGTGCAAACATTATGGGCCAACATGCATTATTTGAGCATGTACTCATGTATATTACAGCACTTGTAACTTAACAGTATGAAGACGATAGAGTGGTGAAGTGTGACGTCATCAAAAATCTATTTTTAGAATTTCTCAATTTTTTCTTCATTTTCAAAAAAAGCTTCAAAAATAATGTCCGAATGTCGAAAACCAATTGAAGTATTGGCTGAGATATGACCATGTGAATAAATATATTTCCCATAGGAACTCAGTGTTATATGCTCTGGCTCCTAAATACGTTTTGTATGTGCGTGTGGTTGATTTTCAATTCTACAGAAATCATGAACTCTCTTTTTTTTCTTCCCCTTTCGTCTTTCCAGAATGGTCCTTTTGAGTTGACGTCACCTATCCTGAACAAGTTCAATAAATCTTTATGGCTTACAACAGCAATAGAAGTAGATGATGCATCAGGTAAGGAAGCTAGCTCTTTACAGAATTATTATTACTAGAAGTAGAAGTAGAAGTAGAAGTAGTAGTAGTAGTAGTAGTAGTGTTTTAGTAGATGGAGTAGTATAGAAGTAGTAGTTGTTGATGTAGCAGTAGTAGTAGTAACAGTAGTAGTACATGTAGTAGTTGTTGATGTAGCAGGCATCACCTGTGCCTGGGAGAGAAAAATCATATACATGTATATATCACCTAATATTCATAAGGCAAGTCAACTCATAGTCTCATTGAGTTTGAATCAATGCCAAAACTTCACTACATACCTGTACATTGATAGTTGTACTATATTACATTTTAAATAAACGCAGACATCCCAATATCGGATCCAATAAACTAGGCCTGATAATTACCTGATATAAATCGGTTTCCCAACTATTTTTTTTTTTTCCAATTTTCTTACTCATGTTGTCATATGCCATTTTTTTTTCCTGGATCCTTTTTTAAAAAAAAACTCAATAAACTGAATCTACGTTTATTTTTAATCGTCTTGTTCCAGCGGAAACCTTTCAGAAGCCATTCAACGTGAGCATCATGCTGCGAGGTGTGGCCCAGGATAGCAGTCAAGAGAAGCTCACTAGCGTCCCTTATAACAGATCAAGGAAACTCAGCTGTGAAAAGGTAGGGACCGTAGATGCAGAGCTGTCAACCATTACATTTTTTCCCAGAATTATTCTTTTTTTTTTCTCCAAATTACGGTAGTACGTTTTTCTTCATAAAATAGTTTTTTGTTTTTTTGTGTGTGTACATACCGCACGTCAAACAACTGCCTTAAAATGTTGATTCGATCTCCAATCCAATAGAAAACTAAGGTTAAAACATACTTAAAGAGAAAAATATTCTCAAAAAGAATGACATGCCAATAATACCAAAATAACAACAAAAACTACATGAGGAACAGACATTTCTGTATTGGAAGTGTGTCGCGCTTGGTTGTAAGTTTCGTCTTAATGAATTCCTTTTTCTTTTGCTTGAAATTCCTTGTTTTTGCCATCTAGGTTTTTTTTGGGGGTCGTTCAAGGTTGGCAGCTCTGTAGACGGCGATCCCACATTTCCTTTCCTCTTGAAGCTTGATATATCTGGGCTCTGTATTACATAAAAAGTTACGATTAAGTATCTCCCCCAAATTAATTGTATTTCCTTCAATAATACTTATTATAGAGCTCTAAATTGATATTGTGCACATATCCATCCCAGGGAATGCTCAAGGCACATACAAAGTAGTATTATCACCCTGGCTTTAGCCCAGCTGCCCGAAGGTGATCAAAGCATTCAAGAAATAAGTTCCTACCGTAACCCCTTTACCACACAACACCTGTATGGAACTTTGCAATATATAGTAACTTGGAAATTATTCTATGTTATTACAGACAGATACTTGCATGGTCCCTAGACCAAATATTTTTTTTTTTTTTTTTTTTTAAACCATTTTCAATTCTGAGTCAATTTAATGCCTAATCTAAAAAATAAAGTTGTTTAGATCTATTTTTCTCTCTTTTTTCCTCCCATAAGGAAATGGAAGAAAAATATTTTTAGTTTTGTCTTGTCCTGTCATGTCTTGGTTATCTTGTCCTGTTATAAATTGCTTTGTCATGTCTTGTCTTATCTTATTATGTCAGTTTCCTGTCCTTTGTGCCCCGTTTTTTGTAATTATGTTCTTTTCGTATATTTTAATTATTTAGATACTTTAAAAAGGTTTATGAAAATGTTCTTTTATTATATCTATTTTACTGTAATTATTAAGACATTTTAAAATTATTTATGAAAATAATGTTCATATTATAATTATTCTTGGGAACCTACAAAAACAAGCTACTGTATGCTTTCCAGTAGGTTTCTGTTTCATTTCATAATTTTGAACTTACTTTGTTAACTATGTTTTTATTGTGCAAACAATTGATGTATGAAATCGCAATAAAATCAATCAATCAATCAACACCATTAAACTTGGAGAAAATGGTAAAAAAAAAAAAATTTGCATGTGAAAGTCGACTAGGGGTAAGATAAAATTAATTGCGGCTAGATGGGAGATACAGGAGATTTTTATGATGATTTTATGTACATTTTTATATTACATTACCAGGAGGCAATGGTTGAATGGAATATTTTAGTAGTATGGGGAAAAGTTTGATGGTTCCTACCATAACAGATAATGGCACATTTGATTGAATTTACCTTTTTTTGTAACAGAATATCAATTCAAGGTGTTGTGGAAAAAAAAAAAGAATTAACAAAGATGGAAACCAAATGAAATATTTCTCCATATTATGAATATTTTTCTCCAATTTTGCAGTTTCAGAACGACATAAATGTAGAAAATAATGAAAAGATAGATAAGGCACTTTTTATTTCTCTTTAGTCTTCAGACTGACAGGGCTTAAATTAATCCAAGGCCACCAAGGCCATGGCCTTGGATGCCCCTTTGATTGGCCTCAATGCCCCTCTCATTGGCCTTGGAGATTTTTTGTGCCCTTTCCAGTTCTTCCCATTTGTGCTGTAATATAGCAATGTGCCCTGCAGAAAAGTGGCCTTGCCCTAAAAATGTTGAAATTTAAGGCCTGGACTGACAAATTTTGAGATACATGCACAAATTTGATTCAACCACTTTGGGAAGAACTTGCTTCTGAAAGATTACTTTGAAGTTTGAACAATAAAAAAAGAAAAGCATTTCATTCTTAATAACTTGTACATTTTATTTTATAATTCCTTTTGCACAGGGCCGCTGCACTGAGCTGTTGCTCCTGCATCTGTTAACCTTGAAGTATTCCACGTACATCGTCACTGTTTCCTTCCAAGGGCTAGAAAAACATCATGTTACTGCAATCAATTTCTATGTAAGTCACCTGTAGTACAGTTTGCAATCAATTTCTATGTAAGTCGCCTGTGGTACAGTTTACAGATCATTCAGTTTGCAATCAATTTTTATGTAATTCACCTGTGGTACAGTTTACAGATCATTCAGTTTGCAATCAATTTCTATGTAAGTCGCCTGTGGTACAGTTTGCAGATCATTCAGTTTGCAATCAATTTCTATGTAAGTTGCCTGTGGTACAGTGTGCATATCATTCAGTTTGCAATCAATTTCTATGTAAGTCGCCTGTGGTACAGTTTACAGATCATTCAGTTTGCAATCAATTTTTATGTAAGTCACCTGTAGTACAGTTTAGTGCTGTAAGTCAGACGCTAAGTTTGTGTTTGGTTCGGTTCGGCAGAGTTCGACAATTTTTCACCCGAACTTGGTTCGGTTCGGGGTTTGGTAATATAATAGCAAGCAGCATTATAGCCGCGGCAGTCGGCACTGGGTGGGCCGGCCGGCCTGCCGGGCCCGACCAGCACGGAGTACCCCTGCACACTGCTTCCGACCAGTTCGAATTTCACATTAAAAACTGCTCTAAACGTAATTATTTGTGAAGAAAAATACTACTTACATTCGTATTTCCGTCTTGAATCGTGTTTTATTTTCAATTTTAAAAGAATCATGTTTTCAATTTGTCAATAAATTATATTTTATAAAGATTTTCCGAGACGGTTGTTGTCTAATGTTAGAGTCATGAAAGCTGTCGTCTTGAATAGAAATTTAGGCTCGTCAATAACTGTTTTTTATAAGTTTTTATTTTTAATAGGAAAAATATAAAATCCGTAGTTTTTCTTAATAAATAAATACCATACTATAATATATATTTATTTCATTATTTATATTGTAAAATTTGTCCGATATTGTTACAATTAAAATATTAATTTTTTGTTGAATGGGTTTGAGCTGAATATATTTTGATCACGCACATGTATTCTTATAATTCTGTGGACGTAGCGTGGTAAGGATTTGGGATTTAAATGGCGCCAGTGAAGTCGCGCCCACCACTTGATAGGCATAAATCACAAAGGCGGAAAATGGGAAAAAAGTTAATATAAAATGAGCAATCATGACATGAAAATTAGGTACAAAATTACAAGTTTATTAGCTTGCAAAAACTTTTATATTTTTCTGCCGAACATCCGAACCAGGCCTTTGCGTTCGGTTCGGTTCGGTTCGGTTCGGAAGTGCCATGTTCGGCGAACTTCCGTTCGGTTCGGCGGTTCGGCTACAGCACTACTACAGTTTGCAGATCATTCAGTTTGCAATCAATTTCTATGTAAGTTGCCTGTGGTACAGTTTACAGATCATTCAATTTGCAATCAATTTCTATGTAAGTCGCCTGTGGTACAGTTTGCAATCAATTTCTATGTAAGTCGCCTGTGGTACAGTTTGCAGATCATTCAGTTTGCAATCAATTTCTATGTAAGTTGCATGTGGTACAGTGTGCATATCATTCAGTTTGCAATCAATTTCTATGTAAGTCGCCTGTGGTACAGTTTGCAGATCATTTAGTTTGCAATCAATTTCTATGTAAGTCACCTGTGGTACAGTTTGAAGATCATTTTATTATTTTGCTATTTCTGAATTAATTTTTAGTTAGGTAATGATTTTTTAGATTTTTTAAATAGCACTCACTTGTTACAGTAATATAGATGGATAAATTGGGTACATCTGTACTTGGAGGAGCACAATATGAAGAAATAGACAAAAATGCGCCAGAAATAATAATGGCGATAATAATAATAATAATTTGGAATACCCAGGCAAGCCTCCTCAGCATAAATGATGTTCTTCCTGAAGGCCCTGCAATTATTATTACCCCAGGGATTGCAAGGTACCCATTAACACCTGGGTGGAGAATGGCAAATGTGGATTAATGTCTTGCCAAGGACATTAGTGCCCGGGCTGGGATTCGAACCCTTAACCCTTGAATTGAGAGTCTAGTGAATGAACCACTATACCACGATATGTCCACTGGAAATCATGTCAACTGAAAATCACAATTCATATTTGCTTGTTCTAGGATCCCATACATTGTATATTTTGACATTTAGCTCATATTTTTTTTCTTCTCCAGGTCTTTCGCTTTGCTCATTAATTCTGATTCTCACCAAATGATACTGTAGTGTAATCTTGCATTTCAAGACTAGGGCATCGTTTCATGAAACCGTCTTAAGTACAACTTCACCAACATCCCATTGAGACATGTATTAAATTAAATACATGCATACCAATGGGTTGGCGGTGAACTTGTTCTAAAGACAGTTTTGTGAAACGCTGCCCTGTAAGCTAAAGGTCAAATAAGGAATAATCCATGTATCTCTGTTTTTCATTTCATATCACAGTTTCGAACTTATAATCCGGCCTTCTCCAACATGATGATCTGGTTCAGATTTGTTTTCCTGGTCATCACATTTATCATCACAGTAAGTATACTATTAGCTGCCCTCTTCAAATCATTTCCTGAAATGCAAGCATTACTTTAAACAAACCAAACTTTGTTATTTCGGGCTCATTTTTGCTGATTGAGGTGTCATATGAAAGGGCAGAAAATGAACTTTCTAGAAATGTTAGTTTCTCTTTGAAATTCAGATACCGTCCGCCAAATGACTTTTTGGTTTCCTCTCTTCAAATTGCTTTTAATCACTCATGCATGAAATATGCAGCATATGAGTTGCATCAAATGAAAGAGGAGGATCTAAGCTTTACAGATATGTGTCATTTATTAATTATAATTGTGATTAAGTTAAAATAAAACATCTATAATTCTCGGTTTCTTTTTTCCTGGGACGCACTGTGTATCAAGTTCTGGACATGTTTTTAATAACAATCGTTAAACAACAGCACCTTTTGGTAGCTTCTGTCATATTGGCAAGCGCTATAAATCCAGAAATATTATTATTGTCATTGTTTTCTTTCTTTCTTTTTTGTTCCAGTGTATGTTTGCTCACTCATTGAGGAAGTTTTCCATGAGAGATTGGTCAATAGAACAGAAGTGGCTGTCGGTCATATTACCCCTCCTCCTTCTCTATAATGGTAAGTTTCAAATATGTAAAACAAGCTTATTAAAGCCTGTCTGCACTAGTTTGGCCAGGAAGGATTAGACCTCCCTGCAAGGTCACTGACAGGTGGTTATCTCATCAAATCACCTCTCAATTAACATAAGCAAAAGGGGATCATGGGGGACCATCGGGTACCGCTTAGCATTGTTTGCTTTATAGAGGGCGCAAGTAGCTACAAGTAGTGCAGTCCTGCTTTAAGTTCTGGGCCCTGTATCATAAAACTTGTTATCAATAGCAAATACTAAATTTCGAGGGCAAATTTGCTCTCAGCCAATCAAATGCCACAATTTCAGTAGCTTATGACAGTTATGTAACTTGTTATATTGATAACAAGTTTTTGTGAAACAGGGCACTGATGATGATAGATGACTAAATGTCAACCGAAATAAATGACATTTCCACCAAATGTTTCAAGTATAAATAAATAATCAGAAACTTTCACAAGTGGTCAAGATTCGCAAAGTTTCATGCTGCGAAATTATTCAATCATGTTTATCACAACATAAAATTGTGTAGATTTGCAAAAAATACAATTCTTGCAGCAAAAGTGGCTGTTGTGAACTATTTGTGGAAGTTTCTCATTTTACAATCAATGAAATAACTTTAGTTGCTGAGTATTTAGCAAAATAAGCCTGAAATAAACTAAGTTGTGTTGATTTGGGAGTGATCTGAGCTACGGTGTTTAATTCTTAATTATTTATGTGCACAAATTAGTCGATTACATTTTCAACAAGATTGGTTTTTAAAGGGATCCACAGATGTAACATATATCTTTAACTGATACTTGGGTAACTGATATTTGTGTAATTGATTGCTCTTACTTTGTTTTGTTTTCGTTCAAATATTCCAGATCCCATCTATCCTCTGACGTTACTTGTCGATAGCTGGATTCCTATTCTTCTTGATAACGTATTCCAAGCAACTTTCCTCTGTGCACTACTCTTATTCTGGCTTTGTGCTTACCATGGAATCAGACAGGTAAAAATCAAATCTTCCATGTAAACTTACTTGTTAACTGCTAGATTCTTAGTGTAAACATTGATAACATTCTTGGCAAACTTCCTCTGTGCACTACTCTTATTCTGGCTCTGTGCGTACCATGGAATCAGACAGGTAAAAATCAAATCTTCCATGTAAACTTTACTGGTTAACTGCTAGATGCTTGTTGTAAACATTGATAACATTCTCGGCAACTATTTAAACTGCATAAGAAAAATGACCCCCCCCCCCCCCTCCACCAGTTCTGTCTTTAACTTTGATGTGTGACAGAAGGGGCATGAATTGTACGCCTTTCAGTACTATAATTCAAAGGCAGGACATTTGCAATCCAACCTACTACAACAAAATTACTCTCACCCTTACCAAGTTTTGTCATTTTTGGAGTGCGAGAAAAATTGATTTGTTCTGATTCATGTTTCTTGGGAATGTGACATATTAAAGCTCACATCTAAAAGTATTCAACAAAGGCCCTAATTCAACAAGTCCACCTTTTATTCTTGAGTTACGAAAAACTAAAAAAACATCAAATTTACAAGGGGTATGAAAAATGCAGTTGTTAATTGTATTTAAACTAACAAGAGCTATGTGTATTCCTCATTTCTTGAAATGAAAAAAATCTACTGGGACGTGTTTCACAAAGATCCAAACTTAACTCTAAGTTGGACTTAAATATTATGGAGAGCAATTTGTAGCTTTAAAATACATTCAAAATCAAGAATTCAAGTACATGTATATTAGCATTTTTATAAATTCCACATCAAGAACATGAAATCTCCTTGGTAATAGAAAATATGAATGATTTGAATCAACATTTTATGCTTTTTTTAAAATAACTTTTACAAAATATTTTCATAGATGCTAACGGCTTTCCATAACTTTTGAGTCCAACTTAGAGATACTTTCAGGTTATGATCTTTGTGAAACACCCCCCTGGTTTGTTCCAGGGTACAGTGTCAAAATAAAGAAACCCAAATAAGCTGGTCAATTTAGGACGTACCATTTGTTTAATATACAGATTTATGAATAAATATTGTAACCACATTTTCTTGTATTTACCCCCCCCCCCCCCCCCCTCCCTACTCCCACAGAGTGATAGAAAGTGGGTGAAGTTTTACATGATCAAGCTGTTAATAGTGGGCGTGCTCTGGGTCTCAACGCTGGTACTAACGTCGTGGCAACTCTACTGCAGTCTCTACGACCCGACCTTCAACTATAAGGTGGATTCAGGGGACTTCATCGTAAGTTTTACTTGCTTTATCTGTTTTTACAATGAAGATCGCTTTAAAGGGAAGTCTTAGCTTTGCAAAACTTGAGTAAAACGGACTGGATGATGTATAATCCTTTTGCTATGAGCATAATTAATTGGAAGTGTGCGTATAGGTAAATGTATAAAATCAACCTTAGTAAAATTTACCTGGCATTCTAAAGGTAAACAGTTATGGAGTATGAAGAAAATAAAGGATGACATTAAACCCAAATCAGAGGGCTCGCACGGAACCCATGTCGAACTTGTTTTTTGTGCGGGCCTTTTTTTCTATGTGAGCACATATGTGTACATTGACCAGTCTACTAACAAGCAATATTATGTTGATTGAGAGTGTGTTTAATCTTGCTGTGGTAATACTAATGGAGTGCTAGGAGTGTCGTATCTGATTATATGGATGTTCCTCAAGGATCGGTTTTTGGACCTCTTTTTCTTTTTTTTTCATACACATTTTTGCTCCTATACACCCAATGTGTTGTTTGCTCTTTGTTTGGCAGGGTATGGTGATATTCTTCCTGGTGGTTGGAGGGTTTTATGTTCTCTATCTGCTCTTCCTGGTAATAAGAGCATTCACAGAACTACGCTCGCTTCCATACATGAGTAAGTATGCCATCGTTGTCATAGTGAACTATTGCCTCATGCTCACTTCCGTTGGGTTAAAACTTTTAGGACAGGAATTGTTTGAAGGTCTAAATCGATCACGATTTCTTCTTCAAATTGGCAACACTGAAATGGTTGTGGACTTTATTGAGAAAATTGCAAATCTTGATCCAAAAAAAAAGATTTTTTATTTTTTTTGGTTTTTGGTTTGTTAAACTTATTATGTCGCCAATTTAGGGATTTTAAAGATTATTTCCTTTTTGAAATTACTAGCATCGAATGTAATTTGGTCATGCAACTAAAATGGATATAGTGTTTGCAGAAATGTTTGCTCTTTGTACTCATGCATCCTTTGTATTTTGAGACTCTGAAATCAAACATAACTAAGTCCTACCACAAAATGTGGAATTATTGTCACGATAGGCGCTATATCGTGAGCTTTTAATTGTAATAAGAGTATTAACAGAACTCAATGCTCCCTCCTTAAACGGATGTCATAGGAAACTATTGCCTCTTCTTAAAATGAGAATTGATATTTTCTTCTATTTCACTCTAGATCTGAGGTTGAAGGTCATGACGATGCTAATGTTGGTGGTTGTTGCAGCAACGTAAGTAGATAAATACTGCTCATAAGGCCCGTCTTCAACAGCTCGAGATTGCCAAATATCCCGCTATTTTAATTATCCTGATCGCAAATTATCCAGTTAATTTGCATCTTCATCAGACCGAAGTTGCAATTAGCAGGATATTTGGTGGAGATAACCATTCCAAGATATCTTGGGCTAGTTTGCAAAATATCCCGCTATTTGTCCGGTGCGTCTTCACTAGCCCGAAGACTCGCACTATGCGCGAATGCTGAGCAAAATATCTCGAGCTAATTTCTTGAGCTGGAGTTTCAAGTTTCAACATCAAGTCTCGAGTTGATGAAGACGCGATTTGTAACTTCAGGATTATTTTCAAAATCAAAAATAGCGTGCTATTTGGCAATCTCGAGCTGATGAAGAGAGGCCTATTCATACCACCACATGTACCGGTAAATCAATCCTGCCTTTGACTTTAAGAATCCTGAGCCCGACCTTGGAATTGTAATATTAATCATCTCCACTTGGGTCGATTGCAGCCACTTTTGCAGTAGAAATGCCAACTTACTTTCCTAGTACTGGATTACCATCGTAACTGTGCTGAAAGATTGTCGGCCAAACTGGAGGACATTCAATAGATGTTTTTTCTAATCATCATGAGATAAGAAATAATGTAATATTACCCAAACTTCCCTAAATGGTACTGCAATCTGATATTTTTGTACGATTTTATGTTTTCTACAGGATAACGATCACCATCATGCGATACGGAGTCAACATTCTGAATGAAAACTTTGTGACAGAGCTCTCGACCTACTACAAAAACTATATCCTTTTAATCACTATCTGAAACATGAGCGAAGTTTGTCCACTGCAAGTGTAATATTGATGACATTTTAGATCAAATCAAGGATGCGTGATAGATTCTATACATCTACATGTATGATCGAATCAGTGAAAAAATACACGGGGCTCGGGTGAATTAGCCCCCGGAATGCCCAAAAGAGCCCCCGAAAGTCATAAAAGAGCCCCCAAAATTTGCATAGAGTTCAATGCAAAACAAAGTAAAGAGTGATATTTTCATGGAAGCAAGCTTGAAAAGTAGCCCCGAAATTTGTTAAGTATTTTTTTCCCATCATTGAATTTTTCAGGATGAGACTTGGTATTCCTACTGAGATCACAGTGGTGAATATTTTTTTTAATTAAGCATGGTTTCATCCAATAATCTTTGTATCACATGAAAAGAAAGGCCATTCAATATTCTCCTTGATTGTGATATTAAGGATTGGAATCACTTTCTTATTAATTTATGGTCATATTCTTATATTTATATATTACTGTAACTCTCACGCAAGTGATTGGGAAAGACATTGAGTCATACTCCTTTGAATTAAATACTCAATTGTTGCATAGCCCTTGTCCAAACCATATTTCTTTTCCTCAAGACTTAAAAATGATAATCTGGATTTATACAGCACTTGATACAAGTTACCATCTCGGTGCTTTACTGATAATATTACCCCGGTCATCTGATTCATTCACGCACAATGTGCACCATCTCCACTCCCTAGAGGGTATTCCTACCATGTAGTCACTGTGAGGGCATATGACAATTACAAAAACACAAATGCTGTTGTCGTCTTACCAGGTCCCCATTTCTTTCCTGAGTATGGAGTGGCAAATGTAGATTCATGCCTTGCCAAAGGACACTGGTGCCCCATCAGGGATCAAATCACGATCTTTGCATTTCAAGTCAAGTGCTTAAACCTCTCGACTATGACAATTTGCTCATGTATTATGGTCCTCACATGCATGAAGAACATAGAAATGAAAGAGATTTCTATCCCAGCCATCCTTGCTCAAGACATACATAGTATCCATTTTGCTGGTGTTTTATTAAATGTTTCTGTTTGCATGAACGAATGATATGTCCTCAGTATTTCCTTGACTGTTTGTCTCTTCACGTGCGGAGTTCCTGGCCTTCTATAGCCTCCTCAACTGCTATCTCTACACCATGGCATTTGTTTACTCTCCATCCAAGAATGCACATAAAGGTACGAGTCCCGTCTCTCGGTATCCTAGATTTAGTGAAACCTGTATATAAAGACCGTTCAAGGGAGACAGGGGAAAGTGGCCTTTATGAGCAGGTGGTCTTTATGTACAGGTATAGGATTATATTGTTTGTCTGAAAGGGGACCCATTATCAACAACCAAAAAGTAATGAAATTGTCAGATGACATGAAAATATTCCCCCGCCCCCCCCCCCCCCCCCCAAAAAAAAAAATAATAATAATAATAATAATAATAAAATAAAAATAAAAATAAAAAATAAATAAATTAAATAGTTTGACATTCAAACATTTCATTTTTTTAATTAACAGGAAAATTTGTTTATCGCTGCCTGCCTGGAAATTAGATTACTGTTGATATCAGTGTAATAACACGTTGCTTTTCTCTCTGTCGAGAGCCAAATATTGGTATTGCAAATTCTATTCACCAAAGTATGTCTAAATTGAATTAACAAATCCTGATTAGAGGGCTTGTAATATATAGGGTGCAATCTTAGGTTAAGGTATTACACCATTTCTATTCATTCCATCTATTAATGTCTTCTTTAAAAAGCAGGGTAATAATAATAATAATAATAATAAATTGTTTCTTTTACAGCGCTATATCCAGTTTACAACTGATCAAAGCGCTTTACAAAACAAATACATCAATGAATTAAAACTCAATAAAAATATGCTAGAAAATGTAATGCAGTTAATTACAATTACAATTACAGGGTAGGTCATTAATTTTAAAAAACTGCTTAACAATGACGCCCTGCTGCAGCATTAAAAAAAGAACAACAACATCAAAAGAAGAAAAACATTTGACATGAAATACTAGAAAATATATATGTACAAAGAATAAGTGACATAATAAACAATAAAATTGCGAGAGTACATATTTTTTTCCTTCTTAATAAGTCATAATATTGATTATTTATTATTTTTTTCTCGCTGTTTTAGATACGTACTTCAAGGATAACCCCACATTCTCCATGCTTAATGAGTCAGAAGATGAGCTCATATATGGGTAAGCCTTAGCCAATTTCCCTACATTTTACCGTCCTTGAATGTCTTCACTGAACTCAATTGGAGGCAGTCGAGCTTGTTAGTAGTGCTTGTTTCCTTATTGAACATTTTGAGAAGAAAATTCAGTTTATTTAGCTCTTTAGAAAGTCCTTGTATTTGATGAATTAGGGGCAATATAAACAGCACCACCGCATGTTTCTTTATTATTTCCCTTTTTATTTTTTTATTCATTTGGACTGGTCACTATTTATATACGTCCCCCATTCATTACCACAAACTATTTCACTGGGGCCTACAGCTTCACAAGCTTGCTTTCATGTAGGTTCCATCATAATTCTCTCAGTTAAATCAGTACCGGTACTCTATATTGACCACTTATCTTTATGTTATTTATTATGTATTATTGATTGTTATTTTATCACACAAAAAACAACTTGTACTTTATTTTTGAAATGTATATGTAACATGAGAGATATGAAAATAAATGAAATGAAGTAACGTAATATCTTTGACTTATTGCAGGAGTGACAGTGAAGATGGCGTCCACACGTCACTGACGGGCAACAACAGGCATATGGACAACGAGGAGGAGTGAAGGAAGCTTCTTCCTGTCCCCGAAAAGATGCCATCCAAAGATTTGATACGTCCCTTTCAACAAAGAAAGAAAGCAGATAACAAGCACAACTAGTCCACGATCTGTCTTCACATATACTACCCTGCTTGATTTTCAGCCTATCAGTTTGTTTTGCAATGCAAAAGTGTGAGAGGAGATTGAGTCCCTGTCTTATAAAAAGCTAGGATGGATACAAATCGATGGCGAGTCATCAGTCAATCCCAAATCGCCTGTCTCTCAACTACACATTTTGTGATTGATTTGAAGCAATCACAACTCTTTATAACATAGGGCTCTGGTAAACATAATAAGATAAAAAATTAATTCGGGAGCTTGCTTTGTGTTTTTTATTCATATGTGGAAGAATATTTCTTGTGGCATGGATTTTTAAAACAGATTTCTCTAGAATTTCCCTTCATATTCCAAACATTTGGACCAAATTTTTGATGTCGCAATGGAGTGTAGTCCCATGTACCCATATCTGTGTGAGGTGCTTCTCACTATCTGTGATTGCCACCAAGATTGAGTCAACTTGTTTCCATTGCGCTGGTTCCAAAACCTCAAAACCCTCTATTATTGTATGTACTGTCTATATCAAAGAATAATGCAACTACTTTCCCCAAAATCAACCTCAGGCAATTTCAATGGCTATGTACGTCACCTTTTTAAACGTGCAGACATTACAACGACATATTATGTAATCCGAACGTGATTTCCATGGGACTTCCATTAGGGTATTGAAATTGCCCTCAAGTTAATTTTTCGAAATTAGTTGCCAGCACCATTCCAATAACTTCAAGAGATATTTTTTCTTTATTTTGCACTTATTCTCGTACCATGTGAATATTCAGACTTAGTGAAAACCAACATGATACCGGTATATAGTTTTCACTGTTGTCATGAATATTTGGCCATTCCAAAGGAAAGATTAACATAGATTTATTAAATCAAAGCTTATTTATTTATTTATTTATTTCTGATATTTGTACAGGGTGGCATATATCACCAATTTGGTGGTCTTCCATGAGGCCCTGTTTAATAAGAATAAAGCAAATTACAGTAGCAAAAACAAAATAGATAAATACACAAGCATATAAACAGTTATTATACAAATTAATAAGTATCCTCATTAAACAACTGATCATTCGAGAATTATCCTTGATGATTTAAAAGAAATATTTGAATGGATTTTCAATCAAATCTATTACAACCTGTAGCAAGGGATGTGTCCCTGTTACCTACTATGTAGTCCCTTGGATAGGACATCAGGTTACAGGTCCTCTTGTCGCTAATCGACAAGTGTGAGCTTGCTTTTTTACCATCCCAGGTTTAAATGAAGTAATTCTTGATGAAAAGATTGGGGAGAGAAAGCACCTTGGGACGGCTCTGATATTTGCTGAAATTGTGTACTTACTTGGGGTTTTACTTTTTGTTTATTTTTGAGGAGGATAATTACCTTGAGGAGGCGTTATATGTGATTCGTTAAGATTTTGTTATGATTGTCCATGCCTTAGCCTTATTGTATTATTTAATGTTCACTTGCTTGTCACTGACACTTAGTTCTCTATGCCGTACTTGAATCAGGAGAAATGTTGCTTGGCCAATTTGCCATCGCATTACTTACCGATCCATAGCACATGTTCATGTGCTAGTTACCGACACTTGGTTTTGTATGCCATACTTGAAGCAGGAGACACATTGCGTTGCAAATTTTCCATTTCATTATTTACTCATTCATAGCACAGATTCACTTTGTTTCATAGCCCCGTTCTTCAATTACTATAATGACTGCCATTTTGTACAATACACATAATTTTACACTCCAGTATAGAAGCATTATGCTTCTTATCATCCGTTTGGAGCTATAAGGGCATTATCTCTGTGTCAAAGTATATGAGCTAATGCCCTTATGGTTCCGAACAAGGACCCGTCCAAAAAAAAAATGAGTTCTGCAATTCAAGCTGAAGTGTCGATATCTCTCTTGTTAGTGTGTTATCATACTTGAGTTTGGTGTAATTGCAAAGCCTGTTTCTTTCCCTTTATAATGATGCCCCATTTGTAATGTTTATTTAATGATGGACTGTGCAGTACACCTGAATATGAGGCCAAGTCAGAAGTGAAATGTCGGAAAATGAATTGTTGTTTCTTCAAAACACAATCCAGCCTCAAAACAAAGGGAGAATTCAATGTTGACAATAACAATGCAATTTGCAACTTTTCACTTTTGACTTTGGCCCCCTATTCAGGTGTACTGCACATTCCATGATTACATAATCATTACAAATGGGGCATCGTTGAAGAGGGGAATAATCAAGCTTTTCAATGACACCAACATCAAGTACAATAATATACTAGCAAGAGAGATATCTACCCTAAAGCTTGAATTGCGGAACTTATTTTTGAAGGGTTTAAATACAAAGTAAAGAGTAATGTGATAGTACTGTAGTTATATAGTCTAATTAGTCTTCCACTTGTACTTATATATAGGGAAGAATATGTATTTTAAAACTTGCTACATTGTATTGGTGGTGGGCGGGGCGGGGGGGGGGGGGGTAATAAAGTGGTTTTGTTTTCAATTTATAATTTTTATTGAGATTTTTTAGGGCTAAATCTGGTTTTACGATGCATTCGATGTGTAGAAGAATATTTCTTTCACAGTTGAAACGCAAGAGCTGGGGTAGTTATATCCAAATTTCTTTGAAAGCAGGTAGAGTCATCACATATGCGCTGTAAAAGAAGAGCATGTTATAATTACTAGTAGGCCAAGTAGGCTTATGATCAGTTTGTCATATTAATGTCAATATTCTTGCTTACACTGGTCAATGTTGTTATTAGCTCATAGCAAAACAAATTCATCTTGCCCGAGCATAAGGAAAGCAACCTACCCATACTCTGTGCATAGTAGCAAGCCACCTGAAAATTCTTGTAGAAAACTTATCTTCTTTTTTTCAACGTTCAGAGTTCAGACTGTAGTTTGTTCATACTGGCTTCATGTAAAAGATATGAACCTTGACAACCAAACTCCAAAAATAATTGTTGAGAAATTGATTTAGTTTTTTTTTTTGGTATTGGTAATCGCGATTAACTTTGGATATTGAGTATATCTCAGAAGTCTTGGACGATACATATAATTTTACAGATGTAAGTTTGCATAATATTTTTGTGGACCAAATATGGTTCATTTTATGCTTCAATACGGTGTTGTTTCTTATTTTTATTTTCTCACGGTCAAAAGCACTCTATGATGTGTATCCATTTTGTTTGTAACCAGTGCCGTAAGGGAGTGTCAAAGCTTGTAGATTTTTATGTATATATTTGCTTAATTGTCGAGCAGGCTGTCAATATTTTATTTAGCACAATATCAGCAAGTGTGTGTTAGTTGTGGAGATGTGGTTGTTTTTTATTTAAACCAAATATCTGTCTTTTCCATCTTATTTTGATAATGAATAGGAAATGATCTTTCAAAGAGAGAAATGGTTCATTTTCCCCCTTAAATTGTATCCTCTTAGTTCTTATACTAAGATAAGTAGGATGCAAGAAATAAGATGAAAATTTTATGAAGTTAGAGCAAGAAAGGCTCATAAGTCTAATTGAACCCATAGCAGTTCTGATTTTTATTATTTTATGAATTAATCTGTTTTCCCTCCTCAAGTTGGCAACAATCTTATTTTCCACTCCTTCATAGTGTGAATAAAAAATGTGAAAAAAAATTACAAAATTGAACCAAAATATTGCAAATTTGTAGATGAATATTGTGATTTCATAATCTTTGAGAATGGCTCTCTATACTGCATTGGAATTAGGCTCCTAATTTTATATGAATTTTGCTCTTTCTGCTGACGTATAATGTGTAAATCGTAGCTTTCTTGATTAAAAGATAATGCAAAAATGCCACTAAAAAGAGACGCACCATCCTGCTATGGGTTTTAAATCAAAACATCCTATTAGAGTATTGTTTCTTTAAGAGTATGTATTTTGTAATCAGCAAAATATGTAACCTTGAAAAAGGGTGAAGCGTTTTGTTGGTAATTTCTTTTCTCCACTTTGCAGTGGATGGTAAACTGTATTCTGTCAAAACATTCTTCACATTTTCTTTCTGTCTTTTCTGTAACAAGAGTATTCAGTTATCAAGTGCAATATCTGTCATAATATTAATGAAAACCACTGCTTTCACTTATTAATGCTAATCAAATACAAAGGTACTAGCTTTACGGGATACATTTTCAGATTAATTTATGATATTGATTATTTTAGCGAGGGGTCAGTTTTAGTTTACCCCATATTTGTTTGCTCTCGGGCTTTTATTTTTGTCTTTAGTTCAAAGGTTGTACATATTACTTACTTGTGCTAGAGGGGGATGAAGCTGCAATTACAGAAGATGAATTATCTGTATATACTTTGATATGGACTGGCTGGGTATTTGGTACGGTTTAGTTTTCATGAAGTGTGTCGTTTTTCTTTCATGTAGGTAGAAATGTATTAAGTGTGTGCGATGTAGTTGAAGGTCATTCACATTGTCAGATTTTCTTTTTATATACAGGTATATTAAGTTGATAATATAGTGTCATTCAAAGTATTATTAAGTCATTAAAAGGCCATCTATACTTGCGTTGCAGGGACTGGATGAAAAGTACTAGCTGTACTGGCAAGAAATTTTTGTAGAAAAAATGTACCTCTGTTCTCCGATTTGATTGAAAGAGAAAAAAAGAGATAGGGAAAGTGATATTTTGTAGTAACGTATTTGCTATTGATTTTAATAGCTTATTTTATTAGATATTGATAGACATTGATTTGAAATTATTTGCACAAGAAATGTTGAGCTCAAGCTTCGTACAGTTCACCTAAAACTGCACAATCCATGTTTAATTGTAGGAAAGTGATTTGTACACCTCCATGTACATTCTCGATGTATATGAGAACAGTTAAAACCATGGTGCAGTCACCCAGTGTAAAGGTTGCATTCATATGTGAACAGAATTGCATCATCCGTTACGTTTGATACATGCATTTCGATAAAGGTTTGTTAACACGTATGTACTTGTGTTGAAAGAAAGTCTTGATCAAGCTGTAATCTCATTGAAATACGTTCCATTCTTAAATATATCCTGATTTTGAATTCTTGCCCTTGCCCTTCGCTCTGTCTATCCTCATTCCCTTTCCCTTCCCCCCCCCCCTTTTTTTTTGGTATCCCCCTTTTTGGTATTCACCTTTTTATAATATATTACCTCACTTTCTCTCCTTTCCCTCTCTCTCAACATCAATCTGTATTTCTCTTTTCTGCCCTAAATTAAATTTGCTAATTCATATTGTAAAGCCAGACTTCTGTCGAATGAGCTTGCCTTGGAGTCAGTTACGATGTAAAAAAGCACTTTGTTAAATCTCATTTTGGTGTGTGTGTTATGTAGTCTAATTCTACCTTGTTAAATCCGTCTGCGAGCTAGCACTCGTAAAAAATAAATGCGAGATTCCAGTCAAGTTGAATGATTTATTGTCAAAATGATTGTCAATAACAAAAAGCAGCAGATTTATTTTCATTATTTGTTCAAATAATATATATATTACACTGTTTGTAATAATTACAGAAAGGATAATAGTACAATGTAAGATGATGTACATAATAACACTGGGAAAAAAGATTTAATACAGTACGGTAAGTAATAAAGTATGACGAGTACTATTACTTACACTTTGTGTGGTCTGTTCCGTCTGTTGTATCATTTTTGTCTATTTATTGTCTATTAGGGTACGTTTATGCTCAACTTTTTCTGGCCAGAATGAGGCATCTGTTACGCGTTTAGTTCAAAAACATGGTTGCGTCCTCTCTCATTTTTGTAAAATCACCGAAAAACGCCGATCGTAAACTCACAAAAAGGTACGATCGGCTGCAGACTCTGCACTGCACTTCTCTGGCTCCTCCAGGCATGAGCCAGAATCATGCCTGGAGGAGCTAGAGAAGTGAGCATAAACAGTACACCGTGGAACTGCGATTACGATGAGCGTTTCAAATCGCTCATTCTGCCTTCAAAACTGAGCATAAACGTACCCTTACATGAACACGATCGCAAAGGCTCTTGGGAAATCAACTCAAGGGCAGGCAATTTAAACACCCTAGTTTATTTATTTATTTAATTCTGATATTTAAGCAGGGTGACTCATTATCAACAAAAATGGTGGTCTTCCATTATATCCAAAAGAAATCATGTTCGGATTACATAATTATGTCAATTTGTGCACACTTCAACTGGTGATGGACAGATCTTTTGCATTTTTTCTCCCTAAGATTGATATTTCAAAAATCTGAACGATCGCATACATAACACCTTTTGCAGTCATGAACTTTAGCGCATCTAAATTTGCTCTACTTTTTAGTGACAAACGATAGTAAGTGTCAAAAGGGAACGACCAATTGACGCCAGTACATAAACCAAGATTATCAGATTTGTTTTATGCCTCAGTCAGATATTACGCGGCAAAACCGCGGCGTTTAGTTTTTAGTTGTTTTTTTAATGATGATGAAAAGTGTTATAGGCTTCACCTTTCTTTATCTAATAGACTGGGGTCAAAGAGTTTAAATGATATGAAAAGATATGAAAATGAGCCTTTTTGAAAATTCATGAATTTTGGCCAAAATGAGGGGCCCTTGCCATTTTTGTCAAAAAGTGACATTTTTTCACATTTCATGAAATGATCTGCAATAATCATATTTTAAATAGACTGGGGTCAAAGAGTTGATATGATATGAAAATAAGCCTTTTTGAAAATTCATGACTTTTGGCCAAAATGAGGGGCTATAACCCCTTGCCATTTTTGTCAAAAAGTGACATTTTTTCACATTTCATGAAGAGATCTGCAAAAGCATGATTTGAATAGACAGGGGTCATGATACCTTATCAAGATGAAAGGTTATGAAAATGAGCCTTTTTAAAAATTCATGAGTTTTGGCCAAAATGAGGGGCTAACCCCTTGCCATTTTTGTCAAAAAGTGCCATTTTTGTACATTTCATGAAATGATCTGCAATAAGCATATTTTTAATAGACTGGGGTCAAACAGTTGAAATGATATGAAAAGATATGAAAATGAGCCTTTTTGAAAATTCATGAATTTTTGCCAAAATGAGGGGCTAACCCCTTGCCAATTTTGTCAAAAAGTGACATTTTTTTCACATTTCATAAAATAATCTGCAATAGCATATTTTCAATACACTGGAGTCATAAACACCTTGTCAAGATGAAAGGTTATGAAAATGAGCCTTTTTGAAAATTCATGAATTTTGGCCAAAATGAGGGGCTAACCCCTTGCCATTTTTGTCAAAAAGTGACATTTTTTTCACATTTCATGGAATGATCTGCATAAGCATAATTTGAATAGACATTTTTTCACATTTCATAAAATAATCTGCAATAGCATATTTTCAATAGACTAGAGTCATAAACACCTTCTCAAGATGAAAAGATATGAAAATAAGCCTTTTTGAAAATTCATGAATTTTGGCCAAATTGAGGGGCTAACCCCTTGCCATTTTTGTCAAAAAGTGACATTTTTGTACATTTCATGAAATGATCTGCAATAAGCGTATTTTTAATAGACTGGGGTCAAAGAGTTGAAATGATATGAAAAGATATGAAAAAGAGCCTTTTTGAAAATTCATGAATTTTTGCCAAAATGAGGGGCTAACCCCTTGCCATTTTTGTCAAAAAGTGACATTTTTTCACATTTCATAAAATATTCTGCAATAGCATATTTTCAATACACTGGAGTCATAAACACCTTGTCAAGATGAAAGGTTATGAAAATGAGTCTTTATGAAAATTCATGAATTTTGGCCAAAATGAGGGCCTAACCCCTTGCCATTTTTGTCAAAAAGTGCCATTTTTGTACATTTCATGAAATGATCTGCAATAAGCATATTTTTAATAGACTGGAGTCAAAGAGTTGAAATAATATGAAAAAAAGCGTTTTTGAAAATTCATGAATTTTGGCCAAATTGAGGGGCTAACCCCTTGCCATTTTTGTCAAAAAGTGACATTTTTGTACATTTCATGAAATGATCTGCAATAAGCATATTTTTAATAGACTGGGGTCAAAGAGTTGAAATAATATGAAAATAAGCCTTTATGAAAATTCATGACTTTTGGCCAAAATGAGGGGTTAACCCCTTGCCATTTTTGTCAAAAAGTGACATTTTTTCACATTTCATAAAATATTCTGCAATAGCATATTTTCAATACACTGGAGTCATAAACACCTTGTCAAGATGAAAGGTTATGAAAATGAGTCTTTATGAAAATTCATGAATTTTGGCCAAAATGAGGGCCTAACCCCTTGCCATTTTTGTCAAAAAGTGCCATTTTTGTACATTTCATGAAATGATCTGCAATAAGCATATTTTTAATAGACTGGAGTCAAAGAGTTGAAATAATATGAAAAAAAGCGTTTTTGAAAATTCATGAATTTTGGCCAAATTGAAGGGCTAACCCCTTGCCATTTTTGTCAAAAAGTGACATTTTTTCACATTTCATAAAATAATCTGCAATAGCATATTTTCAATAGACTAGAGTCATAAACACCTTCTCAAGATGAAAAGATATGAAAATAAGCCTTTTTGAAAATTCATGAATTTTGGCCAAATTGAGGGGCTAACCCCTTGCCATTTTTGTCAAAAAGTGACATTTTTGTACATTTCATGAAATGATCTGCAATAAGCGTATTTTTAATAGACTGGGGTCAAAGAGTTGAAATGATATGAAAAGATATGAAAAAGAGCCTTTTTGAAAATTCATGAATTTTTGCCAAAATGAGGGGCTAACCCCTTGCCATTTTTGTCAAAAAGTGACATTTTTTCACATTTCATAAAATAATCTGCAATAGCATATTTTCAATACACTGGAGTCATAAACACCTTGTCAAGATGAAAGGTTATGAAAATGAGCCTTTTTGAAAATTCATGAATTTTGGCCAAAATGAGGGGCTAACCCCTTGCCATTTTTGTCAAAAAGTGCCATTTTTGTACATTTCATGAAATGATCTGCAATAAGCATATTTTTAATAGACTGGAGTCAAAGAGTTGAAATAATATGAAAAAAAGCGTTTTTGAAAATTCATGAATTTTGGCCAAATTGAGGGGCTAACCCCTTGCCATTTTTGTCAAAAAGTGACATTTTTGTACATTTCATGAAATGATCTGCAATAAGCATATTTTTAATAGACTGGGGTCAAAGAGTTGAAATAATATGAAAATAAGCCTTTATGAAAATTCATGACTTATGGCCAAAATGAGGGGCTAACCCCTTGCCATTTTTGTCAAAAAGTGACATTTTTTCACATTTCATAAAATAATCTGCAATAGCATATTTTCAATAGACTGGAGTCATAAACACCTTCTCAAGATGAAAAGATATGAAAATAAGCCTTTTTGAAAATTCATGAATTTTGGCCAAAATGAGGGGCTAACCCCTTGCCATTTTTGTCAAAAAGTGACATTTTTGTACATTTCATGAAATGATCTGCAATAAGCATATTTTTAATAAACTGGGGTCAAAGAGTTGAAATAATATGAAAATAAGCCTTTATGAAAATTCATGACTTTTGGCCAAAATGAGGGGCTAACCTCTTGCAATTTTTGTCAAAACGTGACATTTTTTTCACATTTCATGAAATGATCTGCATAAGCATAATTTGAATAGACATTTTTTCACATTTCATAAAATAATCTGCAATAGCACATTTTCAATAGACTAGAGTCATAAACACCTTCTCAAGATGAAAAGATATGAAAATAAGCCTTTTTGAAAATTCATGAATTTTGGCCAAATTGAGGGGCTAACCCCTTGCCATTTTTGTCAAAAAGTGACATTTTTGTACATTTCATGAAATGATCTGCAATAAGCATATTTTTAATAAACTGGGGTCAAAGAGTTGAAATAATATGAAAATAAGCCTTTATGAAAATTCATGACTTTTGGCCAAAATGAGGGGCTAACCTCTTGCAATTTTTGTCAAAACGTGACATTTTTTTCACATTTCATGAAATGATCTGCATAAGCATAATTTGAATAGACATTTTTTCACATTTCATAAAATAATCTGCAATAGCACATTTTCAATAGACTAGAGTCATAAACACCTTCTCAAGATGAAAAGATATGAAAATAAGCCTTTTTGAAAATTCATGAATTTTGGCCAAATTGAGGGGCTAACCCCTTGCCATTTTTGTCAAAAAGTGCCATTTTTGTACATTTCATGAAATGATCTGCAATAAGCATATTTTTAATAGACTGGAGTCAAAGAGTTGAAATAATATGAAAAAAAGCGTTTTTGAAAATTCATGAATTTTGGCCAAATTGAGGCCCCTTGCCATTTTTGTCAAAAAGTGACATTTTTGTACATTTCATGAAATGATCTGCAATAAGCATATTTTTAATAGACTGGGGTCAAAGAGTTGAAATAATATGAAAATAAGCCTTCATGAAAATTCATGACTTTTGGCCAAAATGAGGGGCTAACCCCTTGCAATTTTTGTCAAAACGTGACATTTTTTTCACATTTCATGAAATGATCTGCAAAAGCATAATTTGAATAGACATTTTTTCACATTTCATAAAACAATCTGCAATAGCACATTTTCAATAGACTAGAGTCATAAACACCTTCTCAAGATGAAAAGATATGAAAATAAGCCTTTTT